GAGCTTGCTGACACACTTGCTAAGAAGGGGACAACAATTTCGCACCCCATAGACCGGCCGATGTCTTTCTACACAATGAAGACCTTAATCAGGAGAGAATTCCAGACCTCAAGGTGCAACGAGCTTAAAGCTCGAACAAAGGAGAAACAGTGGACAGTGGCACTCTCCGACATACCCGACTGGGCAAGAATCGAAGCCGTTGGTGAGTTTAGACTACGTACCGGACACGATTGCTTAGCAAAACACCTTCACAGATTGGGATTATACACTCAACCCACATGCTCCCTATGTAACCTACAGGAGGAAATGGAGAAGTCCCACCTGATTCGATGCCCAGCCCTAAAGACAAAGACGGAAAGCCAGAGATACTGGGAAGCACGAAGACGGCTAATGAACTGCTATTAATTAACAGCTATAAATATACCCCCCCCCACCCTTAGAGGAAGCTGAAGTCAAAGATTAAGGGCTAATGATAAATATCACAAAGCCTGCCATTTGAAATAATAATTATAATAAATGTCAAATTAAAAAATAACATAGAATAACTTAACAACCAATGAAATTATCAGAGTATATCATTTACAAATCGCTCTTCATCTAAAAGTAACTCAGATTTGCTATTAAACGTTTCAGGAGATGTTGGGAACAATGTCAAGGCGTTCAAAGAGACTTGAATCGCTTGATTCTGGAAACGTGTCGCTGAATGCTCACTGAATGCGTAGTCCATATTCCAGGTTTAAATTTCATAAAGTGTTCCCTGGAATTCAGCACATGTTTGTCCACACCGCTCAGTGACACTTGACAACTTTTTTTGAAGAGGGGTCAATCTTGTCACTTCGATTCTTTTTCCCACCAATTGTTGAGAAGGCAAAAGGATCTTACTTAACATTAAAAAATTCAGAGGAAGTAAATCGATAAGTAGTAAAGACTATGTACAAAGACCTAATTAATCTCAGAGAGAACAAATATTGACTAAATCACCTCGCAGAACATTCAATCAATTACTAAATTAAGGAGATATGCATGGGAGGAAAAATTGAAATCGTACTCAAGTTGCCGAATCTAAAATGGAGTTCAAATGTAGGTCAAAACTAACAAGGTGGCAAGGTTTAGGCACACTACTTCTAATATAACATTTAATGGCCTTAGTTAGTTTATTCCCATTAGTGCAGATAACCGCCACAGATATAACTCTAAAATGAGTGCTGCTGTATTTTCTGCAAGATCATTGTGTACCTCAGTTTATTCATGTCTAATTAGGCTGACAAATTCAACTATCTGACCTCAAAACGTAACAAACCCTCCTCCTCCCCACCACCCCCCCCCCCCCCCCCCGTCCTCGGCCCACCAGAAAACGATGGCCTCGTATTTCTCAAGGTTTTTCAACAATGGCTACCGTTCAACAAACTCTCTGTAGTGAAGAGCGAAATAATTTAGAATTTCAGCTTAGCCAGATTCCTGATTATTGAGCTAATCCAGCGCTTCTATGGAAGCAGAAGAGAGGTAGAACCTTGGAGATCAATGAGTAAATAAAAAAGAACTTACTTTGCGAGCGGCATAATCATCTCTCACATAGTAGACTTGACAATCCTTCGAGTGCTTCTCCGGATCTGAATCGAATTCATCAACAAGCGAATCCACCACTAAAATATGCGAAGTTACCAAAGTGAGCATTATGGGCAAACAAATGAATTAAATTAATTATTTTTGATTGGCTTGCATAGAAAGTCTTTTTCAATTTATAAAACATGGTATTAACACAGGGCCTCAAGGGATTGAAAATAAAGTAACAGGGGGGGGGGGGAGGTAGATGTAGAACAACAAAATCAGCCAATCAAATTGTGGGAAATACGTGAACTAGTGAAAGCACAAACGTAATTATTATTTACATATATACATGTGGCATTCATTATTTTTTTGGACTCGAAAGCTTAGCACAAATTCCCAAAGAAATTGATCGCGAAATCGAGCCAATAAATTAATGATCAAATTGCTTATCGGTTGCGCAATGGATATTACGCATGTTTGTCACGACAGAGACTACGAGATCGATGGTCATTAGAGCGCATTCACTGATGTCGACGGCCAAACAGCCATATAACAAGAACACCTCCAGAATACTGTCAAAATCGGGCCTAGTGGATCAAGAAAAATGTAGAGGCTGTAAATATCAGTTATTTTCCTAACTAACATGTGGCAATTAAAATATAATGTCCTTGAACTAGAGATGAGGCCCTGAAGTTATCCATGAGGTGAAGGACATTAGGAATAAACTCATGACCTGTAGTACCTGTAACACTAAGGCGCATGCTAAATTAATATAAAATCACACAAGTAATGAATAGTTCATCAAGGATTACCGAGGAGGGGATCAATAAGAGTGAAACAGGTTGATAGCTTCCATATCTACCATATTTCCAACTCATAACTCTCAGGATGTAATGTAATGTACCATGCCCAAGGCATTCTTAAATTAAGGTTTTCTAGATCTGACTCCTAGATTTCCGAGTGACTGTTTATGCCCTAAACCCTCAAAACCTATCCAACAGACCAGTTAATTTGATAATCAATTTCCACAAATTGAGGCTTTTAGGGCCGTTGACCAAATTCCAACAGTCTTTATTTAAAATATCTGGGAATGAGTAAAAGGAGGAGGGAAGGGGGGGGGGGGTTGGGTTATTATATCATCAATAAAGATGTTTAACGTACTCAAGGCCTTCTTGATCTTTTCCTTCAATTCCTTCAGACCGACATTTTGCTGCAACTCCTCAGTACCTTCGTAAAACGCCTCAACATCGTTATTTAGTTTTAAGTTTGGATAAAGAATCTCCTTATCGTAGTCCATCGAGGGTATCTCCAAAGTACCTACCAGGAGAAAATGAAAGCAAAATGCGTCGAGCGCTAACTAAATAACGACATTTATTTCACTGGAGCGGGGTGGGCGATAGACTTACCTCCTCTACTAACTGGCAGTTGACTTCAAACTACCATGGCCCCCTGTATGTCATATATGACTACTGCCACATTACGCGCCTCACCTTTTTTCTACCTTTGCGTCTCTCTTTTTTGTATCTTTGAAACACTTCTATTCCCCCCCCCCCATCTCGACTTTTTCACTCTGATGTTCCTTCCCCTCTGTGGAGCCTGAAGTCAACTAAAGGGCTAATGATAACTTTAAAAAAGGCCTGCCATTTGATATAAATAAATTTCACTGGAGCAGATTTAGACCACGTCCAAGGTTTTTACCAGTCATAATTCTCTTCATTCTGCTTTATTTATGACTCATTCTTATACTTAATTGCTTGTTGATTTCTCACAGCTACCTAGACCTCGCCTACTGACTTCTACGAAAGCATTCTTCAAATTATCTGCTACGAGGCAGCCACCTACTTCCTTATCTCCAAAACTACGGTCTGCCTCTCTCTAACACCCACTTTGTTGTAGTTAACAGGAAGTGGGAAAAGAAAAAGACGGGCAAGCTTTCCCACTGTTGCTCTTTTGTCGCGCCTCTACAGTTATACCACCACAATAATTCCACTTCAACCTCTCTCCCTCTTTGAGGTTCGTGGTTTGGCATCAAAGAGGGAGAGAGAGAGAGATTGTGCCCTACTTGATTAATCGCAAAAAAAAGGCGGTAAATGTGAATTCGAGCTTACCGTCGATATGCCCACTAGTCAGACCAGCAATTAGCGCGCGCACGGATTTGAGATTGCGTTGAACTCGAGTCGAGCGTGTCCTTTAAATCAGAGAGTAAAAGAAGCGCATAAGGTAATGGGAACTAAGTGCACACACCAAAAGATCCGATCGAATGTATTTCCTGACACCGAATTAACCACTGTGAGTGGGTATTCAAAACACTTTATAAACAGCTGAGGGAAATGCATAAGGCCAGTCAACTGCTAAATGAAGATGTGAAACGTGATTGTAACCGATTTTTTTTTTCATAATTTTCGATCAACATTGCAAAAAAAATTATTAGATATAAACATGTGAGAACTAAAAGGTAATAAAATACGAATCGATCGCAGAAGTCCCAAACATAAAATTATAAATTAGCCTTGAGTAAGTTATAAAAAATTTAAAATATATAATTCCAATACCATTCGCTTCACCAGACGCATGAGAAAGAAAACCAAAGGTTCTAAGATGAGTAAATCAGATAATAAGCAGACAGTGTTATAGGATGGAGGAATAAGTAGAGAGTGCGGTTTGAAACGCATCTATTCAATGATTTATTTACTAATAATTCCTTGTACCATAGCGGTTCCAAGATGCGAATCCAAACTAATATGCATCTCATCAAAGAAACCAAGTTGGACATCTGATTGTGCGAAAGATCTTGGAGATACCACAGTCTCATACAAGTGTCACAAAAGTCAACTTCCCGCAGAAAAGGTTCTCAAAAATCATCAAATGTAAAAGGCGAAGAAGTGTCTAAGCAAATCGAAGCACCCTTCTGAAGAACGAAATATCGATTTCTTTACCAATGGGAAATACGTTGTGTCAGAACCGAAATCATAACCCAAAGACTTTCATTTAGTCCGAAGGACACCACTCGTCGAATTACAAAGACTACAGTCCGCAAACTGTCACGATTTCAGATATCTCATCCTCCTCCAAGGGTGGTCTGATGACAAATGCAGCCTGTCTTCGCAATTTTTTAAAGAGGGTCTTGGATAGAATTCAAATACCCATGCGGAATTGTTGATCATTGTAGTGGCAAGGCATTGAATAACAGACAGGGGCAACCAGTTATAGGTCCTTTTCAAGACAGCAGGATTAGAGCCAATTGCACATGTAAAGGAAACGTTGGCAATGGTAGCCAGCCTATTTTAACTGACACATCAGTCCCAATTTGTTTGCCTCCGAACTCCCCTCCCTCCTTCAGATTTGAGCCCGATCGACTGTTATGTCACTAGACGGCATGTCAGTATTACAAAGCCCGAGTAATTGCCTGAAATGAAACTGTTTTTTTTTGAGACCCTTCGCAGCAAAAGTGCAAAATCAGCTAGTTCCATGCTAAGGAAGCGGACTGAGGCTGTAATACACGCTAATGGCCGTCATTCTTAGTGAAAATTTCATGCCTAGTAAATTTCTTTTAAATCTACTAAATTATGTTGTTATCACTTACCGACACGTGGTGCACCCTGGGCAACGTATACTCATACGGCAAAAAAGTCTATTAACCGGCAGTAGACTTCTCATTTCAAACTACCAACAACCCATTGTATGTCATATTCGACTACTTCCACAGTACTCACCTCACCTGTTTTCTACCTTTGTGCCTGACTCTTTTACATTTTTGAAACACTATTCTGTACCCCCCTCTCGACTTTTTTCAATTTGATGTTCCTTCCCCTCTGCGAGGCCTGAAGTCAACTAAAGAGCTAATGATAACTATCAAAACGCCTGCCATTTGATATAAATAAATGTTTTTACCAAACGCT